TAAAGCTTTTGTGAATTATTATATAATCTGCCTATAATCATGTAGCGAAATATTTAAAAATTTGAACTTCTGGTTCTTTGAGGAGGAGCTTTAACAAACATTTGGAAAATAATGGATTAACAGTTCAAGCAAAAATGTACAAACTTTATTATTTTAAACATCTTTTAAATCAGACATTTATTTTTTTTTTCATTTGCTTTTTAAATCATTAAAGCACTATTTCTGTAAAATAAATAGCCTTTCTGCTCAAGTCTTTGGGGTCGCCTGATTCATTAACTGAAATTTACTTTACAGACACGTTAAAACATTCTCCAAAAGTTACTGTAAAATTCCTCCATATACCAAATAATACTACTAAAATTTATGACTGAGGAATATAAAGGGCATGCGATGCATTTTCTTAAGCTGATTTGTATATTTGCATAATTTACAGCCATTCTTTGGCTTGTGGTTTGTCTTTTATGAATCCATGTGTTCATTCACAGGAGGGGATGAATCCACATAATGATGCCGCCACTCCCTGCCTTCTTTTGAACTAATTATTTTTTCAGCACCCTTTTTTGAGCTGCTTTGGCTCCACAGCATGACACCAGCAAGAGATAAGAGGGGGAAGCATTTCCCAGCAGGGTAAAACACTTTGCAGATATAACTGTTAGAGTTCACTATCAACCATTTTTAAGTCGTCTTATTGGTAAAGTTGCCCTAAACACAGACTTTTAGCACATTTTTAATTTGTCATGTTTTAGATGAAAGCCCAACGGTTCCTGTCACAACCCGGTGTTTTGTTTCCATCTGCAGTTATCGTCAAGCACTCGCTGCAAAATATCTATAAGCTATTAGCTTTCCCAGTGAAGAAACTCGGTGACTAACACAAGATCATGATTACATCCCTGCTCTTTTCTCTGCTCCCACATTCCCTTTAAGCTCTGCCAACCTCTCTCTCTTTCTTCATTTTGTCTTTGGAGCTGCAGATAAGATACAGAATTCATTTCAAATGTCTGGTCTGCAGAATATACATACTGAAGGACGGGGACCACTTATCACCCGATTAAAGTTCCAGTGATTAATTATGCTAACAATATTGAAGCTGTTGCATTTAGAGAAGGGGTTTATAGTGATGATAGAGGGAAGAGGTATGAGGAGCTGATCTCGGCAAATGACAGTCACAATCTTATCGCGTCTGTTTGTGAAGCCGCATGAACAGGAGACACCATCAGTAATTCCACATGCATCCAAATACAATTTAGAGCGTGTGACAGATTTGAGGAGTTGCTTAATGAGTTAAGTGGCAGTGGCAATAGAATACGTGCATTATAAATGCTGCTGCTAATGATGTCAGAGGAAGAAAAAATGGTTCTGTCACATTTAATTTCTCTTTTTGCAAAAGTGGATCTCACATCGCCGTCTTAGGTTCTCACACAGTGACAGTGTGGGTTGTTTCCTTTCCTGCCTCAGAGTAATATTTGCTAGTATCTGTGCTTCTCAGATAGTTATGGTCTCTGGTGGAGCAATTTAAAATATTATCATCGCCACAGCATCAAAAAGTGCAATTCTGTCACACATTTGACGTTGGCGCCTTGATGCAGTGGCTCAAGGTTTTGAGAAGAAAAGCAACATTGGCTTTTTACATCAGCATTCACTCTGGTTAGCTTAGGCACCAGAATTATGGGTAGGGTTGGGAACCCTGATGCTTATCTAATGAATCAGAGGGGTCCTTTAAGGTCATGTTCAAATGGCTTCCAGTCTGGCTGTTTTTAGTGGCTCACTGGAAGTCCCATTTTGTCAAATTGCACAGGTGCCTCTGCGATGTTCACTGGATCTCTGCCAGTGTGTCAGCACAGCAATCATTCAACACCTTTTTCACTGTGTGAAAGTGCAAAAAGTTGCAAACCATCAGAAAAAATGAAATCCCCGTTTTGTGCGTGCAGAATGACAGCACTGTGGGTTGATGGCAGAAACCAGAGTTGAAATCTTTTACCCCACATGTGCTTTCTCAGGCATCGGGGTTAGCGTTTGGATTAATTCACAGTGGAAAACTCTGAATGTGGGAATAAACAGGACACGTATGCTGCTGATTGCATTTCTGACCCAGTTCATTGCTTTCTGGGTTGGAAACTGGACTCTTTAATTGAAACTTGCTAAAAATTCAGAATCAGACATACATGGAGACTCAGATTTAATGACCAATTAAAGCTGCAAAAAGCGACGAGAGGGCCCTCGCACCCTGCCACACGTCCAGGCCAGCTTCAGCCGACCCGTGATGAGGTCGAGCTGAGCTACATCTCGGGCATGCTGCGGTTGACTAGACTCACACGGACATGTGGCTGTTTTCAGTTTAGGAAGCTAATTGGATGCTGCGTCACTTACTTACTGAACACCTTCTGTGCCCACTGTTTGTCAGTTGTCTAACCGTATAGCACACTGATGTAGATCAGGCGTGGAACAAACAATTTAAATTTCACGTAATAATAATAATAATAATGGTTTATAAATAATGATTTATATAGCGCTATATATTTATATAGCGCTTTACAATGCCACTATTCATTCACTCTCACATTCACGCACTGTTGGAGGCAGCTACAGTTGTAGCCACAGCTGCCCTGGGGCAGACTGGCAGAAGCGAGGCTGCCATATCGTGCCATCGGCCCCTCTGGCCATCACCAGTAGGTGGTAGGGTAAAGTGTCTTGCCCAAGGACACAACGACCAGGACAGAGAGCCCGGGGATTGAACCGGCGACCTTCCGGTGACAGATGCGATTCCTAACCCCCTGAGCCACGGTAGATTAAATGATGATTATTACCTACTGTGTGACCTAATATTAGCACGTAGGCGTGTCCTATCCAGCACGTGAAGTTAGGGACAGACTGGACAAGGTGCGTCCTGTGATGAATAATTGAACTTTGTCATGCCACCACGACCTTTCATGAAAACTCAAAATCTTCGCAGTTTAATATCACTAAGGAGTTCAGTTTGCACTTTGTCAGATCACCATTGTTCATGTTGATCTGACGAAATGTTTTGGTGGGGTTTGTTAAAGTACACATCAATAAATTCTTAAATTCAGTATGGCTGACTTCCTGCTGGCTTTGGGACATGGCTCCAAGAGATTTTTTTCTACATCTTGAGGTATTACGTAAGGCTGCCAAATTTGAGACTCGTATATCAAGCGCACTATTTTTTTTGCTTACAGTTTCACACTGAAGCATCATCACTACCTGATGTTGATTCTGACCACTTTTGAGATGGATTTGGTCAACCTGGGAGGAGAAATCATTGCATGTCCTGTTCCTGGCACTATGACAGCTATTAAGTATTACAATTAAAATATGTTCAGGGGTAAATCCTTATCATACCTGAAAAGTTGGGTCGAGATTAGACAATGTGCGTGTAATGCAAGTTCAGCAATTTAACATTGCCCAAGTCTGTAGTTTAAACTGACTGAATATGAGTTTTATTCGATAAAATCTCTACGTGGAGTTTGAAAAAGCCATTTTCAGTTCAATATGGCAGACTTCCTGTTGGGTCAGGGAGGCCATAGACTTTGTTGTCCGTCTTTGCATGTTACACATATGTACCAAATTTCATTCATGTACCTCAAACTGTGTGTCCATAATACTTATTTATAACCTGCAAAGGTGGCATTTTGAAAACCCCCAAACCAATAAACATGTAATTTTTTTTCTTCAAGAATCGGAATCAGAATACATTGTTAATCCCTAAGGAAATTATGTTTACCAGACCTGATGTGTGTGCTAAATTCTGTGCTTTAGCTGTTGCATGTTAAGGCCTCCAAAAAGCTAATTCATTTGACGAATTAGTAAACAGAGCAGATACAATAGAGCAGGGGTGTCGAAGTCCAGGCCTCGAGGGCCGGTGTCCTGCAGGTTTTAGATCTCACCCTGGGTCAACACACCTGAATCAAGTGATCAGTTCATTACCAGGCCTCTGGAGAACTTCAAGACATGTTGAGGAGGTATTTAAATCAGCTGTGTTAGATCAAGGACACATCTAAAACCTGCAGGACACCGGCCCTCGAGGCCTGGACTTCGACACCTGTGCAATAGAGCATTTGGACTTTTAGTGCTCAGGCTCCAACTATGACAGTCAACATGCAGGACTGAAACAAGTTTGAGGACAGTAGTGAAACTGCAGACTTGCAAACATGCTTAAAGGGAGTGATTTTGAAGTAGCACCCATTCAGATGCACAAGAACACTACTGTGAAGTTTGGCCGTGGTTCCGGTTATGTTACTGAATATTCCCTCTCAGCCACCTCGCCATGGTACGGTTTGACTCCAGTTGACATAAATGGTGCACTGCCCTGGGAATGTTGAAATGAACAACAAGCATACTTCTAGTTTAAAACTGCTAAGCCATAGATGGAGACCCAGTTCTCAGCACCAGCTGCACAATAACCACCACGATACTTCATCTGAAGGTTTGAAAGAAGCTGATGTTTACTCTGTCCAAGTCGAAGGCCGTGGTAAAATTGCCCTCTGCAAGCATTTTAAGGAGCGATCTTGAAGTAACAGCTGAGCTTAAAGTGCTCCAGAGATTCACGGGAGGATGAAACTTTAAACCTTGTAGTCACTGAAGTCAAAAGGAGTCCTTGTGGATTTATGACTAAACAACTGACTTTAACACTCTGGGAATTAGAATGTGGTGTAACTTAATCTACAAAACCACTCTAAAGTTTAGGTTTAAACATATTACTCCCCAAAGGTACCAAATCTTAGTCGAATAGTTAATGCATTTACTCTTGTCTTTACACTGGTACATTTAAGTGTTTTTAAATGGTTTAGAAACTGTGGAGTGGAAGGGAAATCAATAACAACCCACACAGTTTGAACAAAGTAATGGTGCAGTTGGAAGTTTCTTTAGGAAGTCCCTGTATGTGTGTTTGTGTACACATAAGAAAACACACAAAAGCTCTTTAGAGACAGAAGAATTACGCCTGACAGGAGAGGCTGAATGTGCTGCTCTGAGACTCGCCATGAATCAAAGCTGCTGGGTAGTAGGGCGTTATATCATGAAGTATGAATGTGTAATTAAGTGTCTGTATGTCACCAGCATGTGGGATTACTCTGATGTTTACATTCACGTCATGTTCTGTGAGTGATGCCTGCATCAGCTAACATGCCTGTGTCGGGTTTTATTTCTCCTACTTTGTGACCGTTGAGTAATGTGAACTTTTACAACACCAATACAACACCTTTCACCAGGATCCACTCTGTCGTGACTGAATATTATTTTAAAATAACCGTTTTACACTTTTGTCAATAAAGCAAACAGGATGCTTTTAAATTGTAACGATCACCTCAGCTTGGTTCTCCTTCTGTATTGTGATGTGTCAGAGATACAGCGACAAACAATGTGAAGTGCAGTCTGGGAAATAAATCAGGTAAACAGCACATATGACATCACCTGCAAAACATCTCATTTTGCATTATGTCTAATTTCAGGTGTTCCAGCTGTTTTTGTGGCAGTGTGGGCGATCGTCAGGGCAACAGTGGCAGATGCAAGGTAAGAGAGAGAGGACTCAGACTCTAACGAGATTATCCCTGCGAGGTGTAAGACGTCCTCCAGCCCTCCCTCCAAAACCTAACCCTAACCCTGTGTTTTGTAAAAACTGTGTAAAAACTGTCTTCTGTGTTCAAAATGTAGATAATAGCCAGTCAGAAGGATAGCCATCTTTAAGAAAATGATATAAAAACTATAATGACATATTGTGATACCACAGAGACTGTGTAAGCATTGGGCCCATCTCCACTGATAACTAAGACCTCACAGGGTTATAAAAACATCTGCCAAAAAAGTTTGGAAAAAATAAACTTCAAAATGAATAAGAAGAGAGGCGGGATGTTGTAATCACTGCTTAATTGTGGTGACATTTGAATCAGTGAAATACAGGATTTGATATACAAAGAATGCTTGATTTGGAGTGCTTGATACTAAATCAAGCACCTTCAGACGTTGCCAATGTTTGAAGTACACAAGGCAAAATCTGGATAATGAAAAGAGTTGTTAGAGTTAAACATGAGAGACCACAGGAATTATAAGTCAAAACGGGAACAACAAATGCAGGCAGTCGGTCAATATACTGGTTTGTGCAACGTGACAATATTCACCACAAACTACTGCAAGAAATACAAGCTGACGTTTTGGCATTTTAAAAATCCTTAATCAAAATATTTAGATAATGTGATATGACCTAAACTAGAATTGGGAAATTAAATTAAACCCGAAATAATAAAAACAACCCCAGATTAAAAAACAAACAAACAGTACATTTAAAAAATTATAATCAAAAATGAAAAAACTAACATTCTCCTTTGAATTTAAAATGTATTAACAAGTTAAATGGAAAATATCTAATTTTCCTTTGCTGTTCTTCTTTAGCAGTATCTAAAGTAGGTCACACCTCTGCCTGTTTCTGACTTTATTCATACACCTTTTTATCTGCTCTGTGTGTCTAAAAGCATTGAGCGTAGAGCTTTGGACCCAAATGTAGGAAACCAGAGGCTGAGTTAAATAACAGAAACCTGCATTTAGGCCATAAATAAAGTCTAGAAACCAAGAGAAGTCACAGGAGACCACTGAGAGCACCACACAGGGAAACAGATGCTTCAACAAAGCACAAAAGGGAGACAGGACTATTTATACACAAAGGGCTGATTAGACAACAAGAGACAGGTCGGAACAGGTTAGAAGAGCCAGGGGAAGACGGAGACAGGAAGTAAAACCAAAACTAACCTGAAGGACGCACGAAACAAGAAAACAGGGAACAATAGAGGATGCGAATATTTAAAGAGAGGAACAGATGCAATAGCACTGAGGGACCTCAGGCTACTGTTATATGAAACAAAGACGTAAACAATAATTGAAATTCATTCCTACATTAACTCAAAGATGGCACAGAAAATAAATCAGTGCCATCTTAAATCCAGAAAATATAACTTAAAGATGTGAAAACCTCCAAAAGAAGCTCATATTCAGTTATTGTCACAGGAAAAAATAATAGAAACACTAGGATCATCACACCATCACTGCAGTCTCGAGCATTTCAGAGTTTCTCTACACAGTTCCACTTCTCTACTCAGTCTGCTTTTCTGAATGACACCATCACCTTTTGCTTCTGCCTCTCTCACTGAGAATCTTCTTCCTTCCTCTGCATCTGTGTCACCTGCAGGTGCTGGGAGTTGAGCGCTGGGAACATCAAATGGATCTACCAGGTTCCCATCTTGACAGCGATTGGGGTAAGAGTGCTACATTTGTTGCTGCCTATAAATGCAGCTTGAAAATTCACAAGGATACACTTTTGTAAAAAGGGGCAGTCCTCTATAATTTCACTTCAGGCTTTTGAATTTCTTGCTTGTAACCTGAAAGGTTTGAAGTTTCCTTCCATGAACACAAACAACTTGTTGCTGAGCACGATGAAGCATCGGTGGCTCATTCTATATGACTGTCTTCTGAAATGCAGAGTTTTCTCTCATAACCTCTGAATTTCTAATATTTGGTTATTTAAAGTTATTAAACGCGAGTTATGATTTTATGCTTTGGATGCTGTTACCTCAAGATGAAACTCTCCAATTAAAGCCAATAAAATGAGCAGTTTTGTAACATAAGAGAACATTATAAATATTAACAAAATCTTTCAAAATCTCTGTTCCCTATTCAAGTTAAGATCTTGCTTGTAACCAGTTCAGCAGCAGTGTGCACTCAATATCCTTTACAGATCAGAAATAAATAAAGATTTGATTGAAAGTTTGGCAGGGAGCAATCTAAAAATACAAACTGCAAGCAGCGTTTTATTCTCTCTCGAGGCTTCAGTGTGCCGGAGTATGAAAAACAGTAAATAGACTGATATTGCAATACTTTAAGTTTAGTTTTGTCGACCACTGAAGTGCTTTCATGAGCCAGTTTCACCCATTCACACATGAATAATATCAAACACACCGTTCTGGCACATGAAGAACTCAACCTGTGACCTTCTGATTGGTGGATCCACCGCGTGTCCTTCACTCTAACACCTTCTCTGTGCTTCATAATTAACAATCATGCAGCTCTGACTTGTGACTCTGACTGTTTATGTTGTGGTTTCGCACTTGCACTTAACAACTTTTAGAGGTGCGTGTTTGTTATTGGACAGACGGAGGTGGTGGTGGCTGATGGGAGATATGTTGGATCTGAAACATGTTGAATCTAAAGAATAAATCTGAAGGAGCACACATGCACAGGCACACTCACCAACCACAGCTGGAAAACAGGCTGAAGGTGTACAGCAATCCTCTTTCATTTGGACAATGCTAACTTGTTTTTGCTTACAATTTCCACACTTATTCCCCTCGCGTGTCGGGAAGCCAAACACCACCTATGGAATTTAAATAGAGTTCACTCAGAAGGATTTGTTCTTTTATCAGTTGTTCACAGAAAATTGGTCTCAGGCTGGAAAAGCCATTTACTACCTTTACTACATCGCATTCATATGGTATAAAGTGCATGCAATGTTGTGTGCTGTTTGTGTGGTAGGCAGAGAGAGGGCTTGTCAGACGGGCTAAACAGAACTTAAACAGCTTTATTGTTGCAGCCCGGGAAACAAAATAGAAAACAACAAGAAACACGACCGAAACAAAAAACTAGAACTTATTTCATAACAGAACAAACTGGGCACAATTGAGGAGGGAGGGGCAACGACATGATAAAGAACAGAGAGAAACTGAGGACTTAAATAGACATGAGATAATTAGGGAAAGCGACACAGCTGAGGACAACAAGGCTCAGGTGAACCGAATCAGTTAACGAGCACGAGGGAAGCAAACTGAACTGAAGAGACTATCACAAAAATAACCCGACTGAGACTAAAACACATGAAATTGACAGAACAATGTAAACAAAGACAAAACTGCCTAACAACAGAAAATATGATGGAAACAGATACTAGATGTGGGGAACATAGAAGAGCCGGAAAAACCTGAGAATAACAGAGAAAATGATGAACACAAAATCAGAATACAAACTTAACCAAAGCAAAGGTTATAACTAAACTGAAAAGTGCAACAAAGTTAAACGGAAACTATCAAACAGAAAACAGAGTCCCAGACAGAAAACGCTGGAGCCCAGGATCATGACACGTCCTGCTTTTGACCCTTTAATGCCTGAACCATGAAATAATTACCAAAATAGTCACATTTTTGAAAATGTTTACTGAACCTTCTGATCATCAATTAAATATTAAATATTTTTTTCTGAATTTATGAACTTTAATTTTTATTATATCACTTAAAATGTTTGGTGATCTATTTAGGTTTATTCAGGGGTAAAAAATATGCACAAGCCTGAAAAACTTACATATCAATTATGATACAGGAATGAAAGAGTTAAAGGAAGAATTAGGAAAAGATACCAAAGCCTCCTGGGAATTGTACACCAAACAAACAACTCGGTTGACTTAACGATGCAGGCACAAAGACGACAAGTCAAGCAGCTAAACCACAAGGCTAACCAAAACAATGGGGAGCACAAAGAGGCAAAATAACACAAAGGAAGAGCAGCAATTATCCAGATCACGCTGCACACTGAGTTGTTGCAATCCTGTCGTTCTCCTTTGATTATAGTTGTCACGCAATAAGCTCATCGGCACATCGAAACTGGAACAGAAAGCAAGTAACTAGGTGTAAAAATAAGCAAAGTATGACTTGTGCATTTTAAATAATTACTTTAGGCGATGCACCCGTAACACCGGGTACTACCGATCAAAAAAAATGTGACGGATAGTGAGGGTGGCTTCTTTAGTTTTCGTCTGATCAGAGCATTATTCAAACTAAACTGTCTGCTAATATCCAAAACCATCACTCATTTTCGGTCCCTGACTGGTCCACTCTGCATGCCAAAGACCCTGAATCCCAAATTGTCCCCATCACAAATACAGGATTGTTTGTGATAGGTCAGAAACATTTAAAAATAATCGAATGAAATTTGTATAAATGAGTGTGTGAATGTGGCCTGCAGTGCAAAAAGCTTTGAGTCCTCAGACTACAAAAACACCATATCAGGCAGTCTGTTTATCATTTTAGTTACATGCAGAGCTAGTGAATTTCAGTGAGGCACAGAGAAGATTGAGTCACTGTGTGGGGTAAGGTTGAGGACCTTTATCCACAGTGTGGCTCCGTGATGTAGTTGTTTGCACAATCGCTGAACACTTGAAGGTTTGAGACCAGGAGGAGACATAAATTCCTCTGGGATTGCAACAGGAAGGTCATCCGGCACAAGAATCTGCTGAATCGAGTATGCAGAACCACGAGCGAAGGTAACCTCTGATGAATGAGGGAGCACCTGGAAGAAGCTTCTTCTTATCTGTGTCCACAGACAGCTCTTTTTTGCCCGGTCGGCACCTGTGACCTCACTCTGTGCGTGCTCGGGGCGTTTTTGTGCTCAGCGACTTGTCAGGCTGTCAGTGGTGAGTGCCATAGAATCTGTATAGAAAGCAGACTCTGCCAGCACAAAGTTAAAACACTGCCAGTGAGATCAGATGCTTAGTCTACATTTTTCTCACAAATACGTGCCAGGTTACACTTAATGGGCTGCAGCCAGGAGAGACATCCAAGCACCGATGCCTGGCTTGTGTGTGCCATATTTCCTTAAATTGCAGCCAGGTATTTATTAACCTCAACTAGGGTTTACTGTAATTAAAGCAGGCGGAATCTGCTCATACAGTCAGATTGAGTTAGAAATCCATCATGAAGCGCTGACAGCACTCCATTGTGGTCTGAATCTGTCGGGGTATCCTCACAGTGGGGGCTCGCTGGTGACAAATCTTTCACTTGCTTTTAAAATAGCTCAGCATTAGTTGTACAGCAGCTGAGTATCGATCCATTATACTTACAAGTGGTGGTCCTGAGGGCTGGTGTAAGTCGATGGGTTGGAGGTGGTGAAGTATCCGTGGGCTGGTGGGCTGCTCTCTGTGAAACAAAGAAGAATAGAGTATGTGGGCCGTTTTTGTAATTCCAATATTTATTTATTTATTTATTTTTAAATAGAATAATAAATAAAATATCTTCCATCTAATTCTAATTTTTAAGCAATTGTTATTGTTATTATCCCAGCAGAGACACATTATATAATTTGGAGTCATTATGATTTATCAGCATGGCAAATTGTTACAGCAGGTAAAAGCCTGGTTAGGTGTAATGAGCCAGTTAAGATAATAATGGTCAGAATGTTAAATTAATATTATATAACATTAAATTAGCAACGTGTAAATAGAATATTTTCAGTTTTTGTTGAACATGTAAAAGAAAACGTGTGCTGGGGGGAAAATAAGTAAATCCTTGGATTTAGTAAGTGGTGCCTGGCAGCAATAACCTCAAACAGGTGCACCTGGTAGCTGCAACGCAGCGCAGCGCTCAGCAGGAAGTTTGATTTACTTATTTATTTTCCTCTGAACTGCTTCAGCTCAGCCGTACCCACGAGAGGAAGCAAAACAAACAAACAAAAAAAACCAGGAAATTTTTGTTTTTTTTTATTTTTGATGTTGCTAATAAACTGTCTCAAACTATGATTGAGTCATGAAAGTTGCCACTTTTGTAATATTTACTTGTGGCATAATTATAGGAATTATGTGGGAGAGACACACACACACACACACACACACACACACACACACACACACACAGGTCATACACAAACCTTTCTGACTCTGTGGGTGATCTTAAATCTTTGCTCATATGCCTCCTACCTGGTGTTTCCTCAGGGCCTCAAGGCCATCCTGGAAGCTTATTATCTAATTTGGGAGGCAGTACAAGACCTCGGTGTATTCCCGTTATCTCAAAGGAAAAGTCAAGGGTGCTAAAAAAAGACTTGAGAGCTGGCTCACTGTGCTTCTGGTCAATAGGTTGAGTCGCCTTTGTCCTCCTTGGTAAGAAATAGCAATTATTCTTCTCTCTCTCCCAAAAGAATTATCTGTAAGAGGAATAGCGTGTCTCATGTGATTACCCTAACAGTGGGTACTGTTTGGATGTAATGGATAGAGGTGAAAGAGTTTAAACTTGGTATTCCACACTGTCTCTATGCTGTAGGTCATTCCAAAAGCAGATTTCTTTGTTTTCTAGTAGATTACAGTGAGCTGGCTCTTGTGAACAAATGTGAAAGTTGTTCCGTCTGACTGAACGCATCTGTGCCAGCACCCCATAATCAGCCTGTGTAAATGTGCATCTACTGAGCAATTTTAAAAGAAGTCAAAACAAATGGACAGCTACATCTGTTTCCTGAGAGGTTAAATACAAAGCTTAACTAAGGTTTTAGGTGTTCCTTGCATCAATCCCCTTTTGTGTAATTCTGAACTTCTGTAATAGTATCACGGCTAACGAGACAAGCCGTGTGGAGTAAGAGAAGGACCCAAAGATGCAGGCAATGACTTAGATGAGAAGAGTGATCTTTATTGACATGGGGTGAAAATACAGAGTGACACGGAGGTGGTGAGGACAGGAACTGAGAAATAACCAAACCTGAAAGCATGACTCGCGGGATGATGTTCAGGATAATGCTAGGGTGAGACTCAGAATAACACAGGGAGGTAACACAGACGGACCAGTGACGAGTACAAGAGAACACACACTATAAATACACATAGGGAAATGAGGAAACTGCACACAGGAGGGAGACGTGGCTGAAGCTAATCGACATGACGAGACAGGGAGGACGCAAGCTGAATACACTGACATAAGACACGGACCTTCACAATAAGACAGGAAACTCAACACACATGCAAAGGCACAGATGCAGAGACCTGACTAACCTAGAACAGAGGGAACACACAGGCAGGGATGACACAGAAACAGAGGGAGCACAGAGTAACACGAGGGGCAAGGGGACCAAACCACAGACAGCAATAATGCAACAAATAAATAATAAACTACTCAACACACTGGGCCACAGACCCACGACTGTGACAAATAGTTTCTATATTTGGACATCAAAGTAACACAATCCCCTTTTCGTTATTTTAACATGTGGTGGGTTGTGATTGTGATGTAAGGCTATGAAAAGCTCAAAACACTGCAGTGAGAAAGTTTTCTGGGGTTACATGTAAGGCCAGCGTGCAGCGAGCTAGTTTACACTGTACACTAAAGCCCTTACTAGGGGCTAAAATGCTAAATTAAAATAAAGGGGAGGAATATTTTGGTCACTGATAAATGAATAAATCACTGGATGAGAACAGCCCCACATTTGTTACATGCTCATCCTACAATCCAGTGAAATCAGGTTGTGTTTGTTCCTTTAAATACTCGTGCGTGAAACTGACTGCTGTACAGACTGTTTGTTCGGATGAAGAACAGGCGGTCTTGGTATCCTCTGGTTCCTCGTGTCCTTTAAAATGCTGTAGAGAGAAAAAGAAACGTTGGGTCATTTTTCTAACCGATGCACTGATGAGAACGGGCTGACCATCCCTCAAATTTAGATCAGCGAATAGGAAACTTCTTACAAAGATGATACCGCTGATGTACAAATAATAGATTCCACAGGAGATAAAACTTTGCCGCACATGTGCACGTAGGTGTGTGTGTGTGTGTGTGTGTGTGTGTGTGTGTGTGTGTGTGT